GACAGATAGAGAGAGAGAGAGAGAGAGAGAGAACATTTATTTGTTGTTCCACTTATTTGTGCATCGTTGGTTGATTCTTGTATGTTTCCTAACCAGGGCCATAACCTTGGGGTACTGGGATGGGGCTCTAACCAACTGAGCTACCCACGTAGGGCAGCTTGGGATGTTCTTTTGACACTTAGTACCTTTTCCTTCCATTCCACACTCCCTCATCCAAGCCAGATTATAACCACTATGAATTTCCTAGTTTTATGGCTTAATAATGGCATGATTATGAACAAGTTGCCTAACTGCTGAGCACTGCTTATCTTTCCTATAAATCTGAGATAGTGCCTCATTACACTTATTACAATAATAACAAAGTAAACACGTATTTCCTTGGCTGGTGTGGTTCAGTTGGTTGGGTGTCTCCCCTGCACTGAAAGTTTGCCAGTTTGGTTCCTGGTCAGGGCTCAGGCCCAGGTTTCAGGCCTGATCTTTGGTAGGGGCTGGGCAGGAGGCAGGCGATCGATGTTTCTTTCACATTGATTTTTTTTCCTTCTCTCTCTCTCTCCCACTCCCTTCCTCTTTCTCTAAAGCAATAAGAAAATATTTTTAGAATGTGGTTTCCCTCTCAGGGGAATTGAAGAGACCAAACTGCTCTATTAAAAATAAAAATAGAGCCTGGCTGGTGTGGCTCAGTGGTTGAGCATTGACTCATGAACCAGGCACATGTCTGGGTTTGGGGCTCGATCCCCAGTGGTGGACATGCAGGAATCAGCCGATGGATGACAGCCCCTCATCATTGATATTCCCCCCTCATTCTCTTTCTCTCTCTCTCTCCCTTCCTCTCTCTGAAGTCAATAAAAAAATAAAAATAAAAACAGTAAACACATATAAATAGTTCAGCATAGGCTTTGCTAAATATCAAACATTTAATAAATGTTACTTGCCATTATTATTATTATAACTCTATTATTATAACCATATTTTTCCTTAAATATTAAAAATGAACTTTCTGCAGAATGGCTTTCTGTTTGATCTTATCTAGCTCTAATTTTTTTCAAATCTATTTCCCTTTAGCACCTAACTTCATTTTAGACTCTACTAATTTGTTCATGTTGTTGTATTTTTAAAAATTATTCTTCAGTGAACAGCAACAAATACGTGAGCACCTATCTTGTGCCAGGCACAAGGATCTAGAAGTATAAATCCCTATGTTTATAATATAGAGATCGTGGGCACACAGTGGAGGGATGCAGTGAAGAAGCAAAAAAATACTCTACTCAGATGTCCATTAAAAAACTTGATTTATTTTAGTTTATGTTTTGCAGTAGTTTAAAAATTATAATTTAGGATTATCCCTATTGTTGAAACAGCTTTATGTGTGCTTTTATCCTGAGATACTCCTCTATCCGTATCCAAATGTTAAGTGGAGATAGAAAGAGTAGTCCTCCTTGAAGAGCTAAATCCCAACAGATGATTTTATTTTATGGCAGGGAGTGGGGAGGCTGGGCGGTGAGAGGGGGGAAGGGAGCATTTCAGGTAGCATAATCAAAGGCACTGAGGCATGAAGGTGTGACTGAGAACTACTCGAAGTTTGGTGCTCTTAGAGCGTAACATTCTAAGTCGAGCCTTTTAGGAGCTGATGCAGGAGAGAATGTAGGAGTCTGCTCGGTCAGACTCAGACATCTGTGGCCTATGTGTTTACATCTCCCTGAGGCCAAATATGCGCCTTGTAGGATGTAGGTCTATATAGACAATTTATAAAAAGCAAATTCTGCAAATTGCTTCTGAAGCTAGACTTGATTTACATGTGGCATGGACTATATCTCTTCCATTTGCTGTTTTCATAAAAAATGATGAAAACATTAGTTATGGTAATGCATAATTGATGTTATAGCACTCATTTTTAATAACCCAAGTGTCTAAAACATAGAAATACTAAATATCATTTGAGACTCTGAAGTAGGGCGTCGCTCTGAGATTTGAGAGTAGAGATGGGTGTCAGCAGGACAGACACTCAAGGAGAACAGGCAAGGGGACCACTGTGAATTCCTGGCCTTCTCAGTGTCTCCCTAACACATTTTATAGAACAGAAAGCTAAATGCTCCATTTTCTATAATTGTGTGCTTGACAACTTATATGTCAAATTTTTATCAATATTTGATTTTTTCTTTGTTCTGATATGAAGTTCTGACTTCCTTCCCCTCTCCTCTCTCATTTTTA